GATCCTTTGATTGAGAGGGGCGAATTTGCGTGATGTAAGTGATAATATTAGGTTCCATTATTTTCATTGTTGAAGGTACGTGAGAGGGAATGGCTGAATGTGAATATTTTATGAACCTGAAAGAGCTATATTAGGACAAAAAGTAATACTTATCAAGGATATTATAAAAACCGTATACTTTCAAAATTACCTTTGTTGTTCATGAATATGTTTCGTCCCATTTTTTTCTTTTTCCTCGCTTAAATTTTATTATAACTTGCATCAATTACTATCCCAATGTTTAAAAACATAAATTTAAAGATGCATTTTTAAATTCTCGGATTTTTAAGAACGGGTTTCGTTGTTCAAATGAACAACGTGTTTTTCATGTCCACTTTTAGGGCTATAATTGTTTTAAAGCATATGTTTTGAGGACATTCTAATATTTTGAGTAATTTTCTTATAATAAATACTACAAAGGTATTTCTTATCTGGTCAATTTTGCGCATATCCAGTACAAATATTCCCTCCCAATGTTTTTGTTTCTGTGACCAATATATATTATACAAAAAATAGATTCTCGAAGAAGTAAAAAGAAACATCATTACTTTTTACGTGAAAAAAAAAGTCGGAAATTTTTTTTAGAGACGACAGCTTTTCACGTCAAAAATTGTAGTTTCATTACGTACAAAATCTGTCTTCTTTGAATTACTTTCCGAGACCTTTTTTTTTTACATAAGAAATCGCAAAATCTTTACGTATAGAGATTTCAGTTGAATCATTCATTTTTTTTTTACGTCTTCGATCACATTTTTTTACGTTAAGTTCTTCAACTCTAATTATTTACAAGTTCTGTTACATACATCTTTCGTTATCTTAAAAATTACTGGTTATAATTTTATTTTTACGAATTATATTACAAGATGTACGACTAGGGCTCACATAAAGCTCTAGGATACTTTAGTGAAAGATAATCTTACAACTGAATGAGATAATGTATGTTTCTTCTAAGGAAAACACTATGTCAATTTGAAAATGAGCATTACGTGCTTCGACAATTGCGCTAAATGGTATGTTCCAGACCCTTTTCATGTGACAAACGTGATTTTCTAGCAAATTTACACCTAGAAAGCCTATTCACTTGGCCATATATCTTGCGTACAACGAACCCATTTTGTTTTACATGAATGTATAAAAAAATATGGAAAAATTTCAATTTTTTGGTATTTTTGAGACCTATCGCTTTTAGACAAGTTCAAAAGGTAAAATGAATTATATCACTGAAAATGACTCGAATTTTTGGTCTAGAAATATATAGTAGACATCGATGTATGTGATTAAATGCACAAGGAGTTAGATTTCTTCAAGGGTCAAAAATAAGAATTTTCTGAGAAAAGTCTAATTTTAGCTCCATTGCTCTCATTTTCCAGCGTAATAGAAGTATTCAATCAACAATTATTATGTTTACAAACGCAAAAGTACAAGAAATACATCTAATAAGCCATATACATCGTTTTGAAAGTTTCTCTTCGATTTCTCCGTTTAACACATCTTTTTTTGAAATTCTAAAAAATGGCAATACTTACAGTTCTCTGCAAAACACCAAACCTCAGAACGCTACCTAAAGCAGTGCAAGAAACATTCCTTATACCGTGTGAACACATACTTAAATCATTTTCAGAGAAAACAAAATTAATTAAAATAAAATGTGAAAGAGTATCACGAGAGAGACTATTCCACCCCCCACCCTCTCCCTTTTTCCTGCAGATAGTGCGAATGGATGGGGCTGCAGTTTAGAATTAACAGTTCTGCTACGTATACAAAGTGGAGGCAATTTTTAAGAGAAAATTCCAGATCTTATAAGAATGATCGCTTGGAAAACTGATATTAGGCACAGCATTTTCCATTATTTTCGAATTTCTTCTTCTCTCTAAAACATAAGGTATTTAATAGTGTGTCCCAAAAAAAAAAAAAAACGCTCAAAAAGTTGCGTTTTCTGGACAAAAAAGGTTTCCATTTAGTTGAAAAACAACTTCAGCCAAGTTTCAGAGCTCTAGGTGAAGTTTAAGTGCTGCCGCATCGCATATTCTTGAAATGCACGATTCCGAAGATTGACGAATTTTGTCGATTTGATGACTTTTTTTTAGAGATGAAACAGTTATGCTGGAGCTTGAGATAGTAGCCTCCTATTAGACTACTTTTGATATAAATTAAACATTCGAGCGTGCAAGATGCGCAAGTATTTGTTAAGAATTCGGAAACTTGGCCAAAAACGCCGTATAAACGCAAATGGGATACATTTCAGCGAGTTGATTTATTTTTTAAAGTTTCAAGGATTGTTGCTATCGACATACAATCTTAAGGTAATTGACTTCTAATAGGCTACTTTCGATATAAATTGTACACGCAAGTACGTGCAGGACGCGGGAGTATTTTTTTAAAAATTTGGAAAGTTGACCGAAAACGCTGTTTTGGCGCAAAGATCCGTTTCGTCGAAAGTTGATTTTTTTTTTAATTTAGAAGAAAACTTGCTGGTGTCGTAGGGACCGAAGGTAGTCAACTTCTAACCACATAGTTTTTGAGTTTTCTCTTCTTTACAGTATATACAAAATTGTATCCTGTCCGTGTTACTTACGTGACGTGCGACGTAAGTTACGTCGAACAATGAGATCAGCAACTTTTCCTGCATCCTTTGCAGATCGCAAAAAAACCACTCCAAAGGATATTTCAGTCCAAAATTACGTATTTAAACGAGTTCAGAGATTTTCCGAATCTCTGTAAGTTGGACAAAAACTGTCATTATTTGTCAAAACTACCTTCAGAAGTTGAACTACCTTCGGTCCCTACGACACCAGCAAGTTTTCTCCTAAATTAAAAAAAAAAAATAATCAATTTTCGACGAAACGTATCTTCGCGCCAAAACAGCGTTTTCGGTCAACTTTCCAAATTTTTGAAAAATACTTCCGAGTCCTGCACGCGTACGTGTACAATTTATATCGAAAGTAGCCTATAGAAGTCAATTACCTTAAGATTATGACGATAGCAACATTCCTTCAAACTTTAAAAAATAAATCAACTCGCTGAAATGTATCCCATTTGCGTTTATACGGCGTTTTTGGCCAAGTTTCCGAATTCTTAAAAAATACTTGCGCATCTTGCACGCTCGAATGTTTAATTTATATCAAAAGTAGTCTAATAGGAGGCTACTATCTCAAGCTCCAGCATAACTGTTTCATCTCTAAAGAAAAGTCATCAAATCGACAAAATCCGTCAATCTTCGGAATCGTGCATTTCAAGAAAATGCGATGCGGCAGCACTTAAACTTCACCTAGAGCTCTGAAACTTGGCTGAAGTTGTTTTTCAACTAAATGGAAACCTTTTTTGTCCACAAAACGCAACTTTTTGAGCGTCCACTTTTTTTTGGGACACCGTGCGTAGCATATAATTTCTCAATAGGAACTTCAATTTTATAACATTCAAGTCAATTTTTGTTCATATTTCTATTATGTTTGTTTGTAATGATTATACCTATGTGAAATCTTTAAATAAATGTTGAACACACATCCCTTCCGTTTTTTTTTTCTTTCGATGCTCCTCCAATGCCTCGCAACTTTACCTCTTCTTGATGGCTGAAGTATCGAGTGTTCCAGAGCACCTGTCCACTATCTTTTTTTCGGAAACAGCCAAAAATTAAGCTTCAAGTCGAATATCATCTGGGGTAAATCAACCCCAAAGAACTCAATGAAAATATTTTCAACCCCTCAAATCCCCAATGGGGGGGGGGTTTAAGACGGTGCTCCCCGTTTCTCGCATATTTCAACTTGGAAGGGTTGATTTGACATCAAATTTTAATTCTTTGACCAGAAACAAGAACTTTTTGTCCTATGCACTTTTTACCTAAGCCCCTATTTTTCGGAGTTACGGGGCATTTTGGGGTATTTATGGGCAAGTTTCAATTAGACACTGCGGGCGATAAAATTATTCGTTTTTCAAAATCTAAAAATCTCCAGAGAAACGAGGTCAACACCTTTTTATTGATGTGGCACATGACCCCTGCCGATCCAAAATTATGGGTATTTAAACGTGCTTGAAGAAGCAGCAAATATACAAATAAAAATAAAATTAAACGTAATGAAAATAATTGAATTTCAGACTATTATGTTGCGAATTCTCTATTCTTAATTTCATTCCTGAGGCCTTTCGGCTTGCGCCATTATCAAAGAAAACACATCGGAGTCAATTATGTACACCTAAAGTTAATTACTACAATTATCCACAGCAATCAGAGCACACAGACTACAAAGATACAAACAAACACAAAAAAAGCCACGCAAACTACATGATTACATCTCCAAGTTTATAAAATAATATTTTATAAATAAATAAAATACAAAATTCAGAGCTAATTCAACCTACAAGTAGCGTGAAAATACCATTTGAGAACTGTAAAAAATCCAACAGCGTTGCATGATGGTGCAGAAGAATACGAATTAAATCACAGTGTTGTATGGTGGGAATTGTACTATATGGCAACGCTGTAAAAAGAGAGTATTGCATGTAGCCTCTTCAATAAGCAGGTTATACAATGGTGTAATGTGGCCCCTGCAATCTGCGGGTTATGCGATGGTGTATTCTTCAAAATGGCAATTATGCAACAGCGATGCCGGACGGTGCACATAAATTAACTATTTATTTATGGGTGAAATTTTGCAACATCGAATTTTACAGTGTTGCTATATGGTGCAAGAAATTAGTTAATTTTTCGATACAATGTTGTCAGATTGTGCAAAAAATTAGGATTTTTGGACTTGTAAAAATTTTCGGCTTCGATAGACCGTCTCCTCTAGTATGGATCTGGTATCGGAGACTGGAGAGTAGGGTCTGATTCGGGAAATTAAAAAATGTTCGGTAAATTACCCTCCTCCGATCCGCCGCGGACCGATGCGATTCTTTTACATTTTCGAGGATCGGAAAACTGTACGGACCGAATTTTGATATGACATTTTTGTTTTCTAGATTTCGGACTTGTAAAATTTTTGGCATCGATGGACCATATCCTCCAGGATGGGTCTGGTATCGGAGACTGGAGAGTAGGGTCTGATTCGGGAATTTCGATTTTTAGTGAAGTGGAGATGCGTATCGGAACCTTGTGTTAAGGGATGAGCAACTGGGATTGGATATTGCAATGTTCAGTTTGATGAATCAACATTTTTTTTTCTTTTTTTCTTTGGTGGAAATTTACTGTTACAGTCAGACCCAAGTAGTATGAGTTGCAATATGTTGTACTAATGTAGTAAGAAAATCGCAACTTATCGAGTGGCGTGGATGTTGCCTATTCACGTAATGCAAGGAGCGGGGAAAATCGCAACTTCATTGCAATAAAATCATGACTCTCGCAGTCTCGCGACAACATATCGCCAGACTGCTGCTGCTGCCGCCAGACCGCATTCGCGTCGCGCTACAATGGACCAATAGAATTTGTCCGTCTGCGTGGCTCGCCGCTCGCGCATCTTCAACGGATTTTGTTGATTTGTTCGCTTCGCTCGCTCTGCCTGCCTTCGTTTGTAGCTTCGTGTCTGGTATTTGCTCTCATCGTGCTTAAATTAGCATTTATACAAGTGTTCCTGTTTTACGCACGCGAAATAAACTAATTTAGAAACTGTGGAACTTTCATTCTTTTGGTGTAACTGTGTAAGTTGGAAGTTCTCCTGAAGTGTTGGTGAATGTGATGTGATGCCGGTTCGCGAACCAAGATGGCGGAAACTGACACTGAAGAGAAATTGAAGAAGCTAGAAGATAAACTGAAATTGAAAGAAGGCACTATGAAGGATGAAGTTGTAAGTATATTTACAGTCATTAAAAGCTGAACCTATCAAAAACTGGTGTAGTAAAAATAATTTAATTATTTTATTTTTTATTTTGTATTACAGAAACCATTTTTGCAGTAACAATAAAAAGGTGGACAAATTTAATTGTAAGTGTAAAAATCAAAATATCGGACGAGAAGCACAATGACATTTTTCCAGGATTTTCTTAGAACTTCAGCCATTACCTTCCTAATATTGAGTTCTATATTTCTTAAAGTATTTACTGACTGTATTAAGAAAAGCTAAGTCCTCACTTTGGAGTTTAAATGGAGAGAAAAATTTTTAGCGCCAGTCTGGCCCACTCGGTCTTTCAGGACATGATCTGCTTTTCAATACCCTGGTTCCGCTTCTCCAGGCTCAGTCTGTATGGTAGTAAAAGAGGTTGAAAAGAAAAATGTTTGGATGAATAAAGTAGTACCCGAAGCTATCCACCAAAATACCCCTGATAAAAATAAAAAATATGAAAATATGACCTTTTTTCTGTTTTTCTTGAACGGTCTTCCCAGATGAACTAAAATGTTCTATACTAAAACTGAACTATAATATAACTAAATCTGTTCTATAACTAAGCACTTGCTTGGGGCCTTAATGAAACCAAATTTTCAGTCAATTAATGAGCGACAGTTTAATTTTCCTCCAGGTGAAGGGTTTTGCGTCGATGCACCGAAATGATTCTAACCTCACTGCCACGGCAAGAGGTATGGCAAGAGAGATGCTATCAAAAAAGATTCTAGCCTTATTTTCTCTGCATGGAGGGCATGCAAAGGGTTTTACAGAAACAAAATGGGCGTTCGATCAGCTGGAGACCTACTCAGTCATTATTGGTAAGTCTCAATTTTCAGTTTACCTCTGCTATAGAAATAATATTTAAATCATAATGGAGCCTTATAAATTTTGAGGGAAAAAGAAACTAGTTTCATTTTTATTTGTTCCCGCAGTATTACTAGTATTTGTTCACTTGCTTTATTTTATAGTCTGAATAGTAAACAAAGATTTTTCTTTGTTGAAAGTTTTATTAAGGCTTCTTCCGAAAGGTGAAAAACATGCACTGTCTGAAGAAATTAACATTTGAGTAGTGGAAAATAAAAACCTGTTAAGCAGCATCAAATTGCAAAGATTGTGTATCGTTAATTTCTTTCAATTTTAGGTTTTTTGTCTGGTAAGGGTGTGCGTGTGTCTAAGGTTAGGTTTTCTTTTCTTCCCTCTTAATTCACCTGAATTTCTAAGATCTTGCTAGGTGCAATAAAATCTGGTCTGTTTCAATTCATTTTTTCGCTTGTTGCAGAGATGGTAAGACTTTTATGGGAAAATCATCACACCAATTTAAAGGCTGATGTGAATGGAACACTTGGGCCTTTCCTTACTGGGATGAACAAGAAGCCGGTTTCATTAAAGCACCCATCAAAGCAGTAAAGTCTCGTGACGTCATTAATTTGAATCATTTGATTGAGATTTTTTGACAGTTTGTCTTTAATTTTTTTGGATTATTTCTGTAATCTTATTAATTTTGATTTTGATAATGACAAAGTTACCTTTCTTACTGGAATGAACAAGAAGCCGGTTTCATTGAAGCCCCCATCAAAGCATTAAAGCCGTGTCATGTCATTAATGTGAATCATTTGATTGAGATTTTTTGACAGTTTGTCTTTAATTTTTTTGGATTATTTTTGTATTCTCATTATTTTTGATTTTGCCAATAACAAAGTTACCCAATTATATTATGATTTGATCGGTATTACTGTCAAAACCAAGGCCAATGTGAAGGAATACTTTCAAGTTCTCAATTTATAAAATGTTTCTGAAGAGCGATGCGCTTTTTTCCTTTTTTGACTTAGGTATTTACCTACCTATTTTGTGATTCATCACATGATGTAAACATCACGCTCTCATCATTAGTAGAATTTCTAAGGCTTATTTATTAGTTCCTAAAGAGATAAATAGTTTAATCTCATTAATTTAACAAAGGTTTTTCGACATTATGTGTCTAACTTCTTTGAAATTTTTTTTGGTATTCGCCATTAGTTTTGTTTTCCTCTTAGGTAGAAAACTACTCAGGTAGCTAAGGTAGAACTTTGAAAGTGCTCTTTCTTAGATGATTTTTATAGATCTGTTTAAAGCTATACTGACCTTATAATGTGTTTTTAAAGCTATAGAAGTGTTTTAAATAAGTCCTGTAAAAATCATTTACTTAAAAAAGAGCACTTTCAAACTTCTGCTCTTCCTATTATTACACTCAAGTTGTTCTAATAAATATCCATTTTTGGGAATTCACAAACGCAATTTAAACTATCATTTAATAACACTCCTTGCTATCCTGGCAATGAATGCAGTTAATATTTGAAATTAAGGCGCAAAGTAGTTTGCAAGTAAGTGCATATTGCAATGCCATTAGTTTGTGATTTACATATCATGGCTGCATTAAGTTCAAAATAAACTTAAGTTCTATGTGATACTTGACGGTTTGCCTTTAGCTTTATTAAAGTTTGTTGTCTATTTTCTACTTTAATTTAGCAATACTTAATGTGATTCAAACAGTGCTAAAAGTTAATATAATTATAAATAAATATTTTTAAATTTTGATTACCCATTTTGGTTACCTTATAGCTCTTAAACTGTACCTAACTTCTAGGAATCAGTCAAAATTTAGTTTGTTCTTGCTAAATAGCATTTATTTTCGCTGTATTATTTTTCTACCGTCATTTTTTCCTTGTGCACTTTTTAAGACTGTTTAAGTCATTTTACATTTTTTATGGTTGACTAAAACTATTAAATTGCTTTGTAATTCTATCCCACAGTTGTACTCTCCTTATTCCTTAAACATTTTTGAAAAGGCTATCTTTCTTGACCTAAGAAAAATTCCTTTAATCTTAATTTAACTTTAAAACTTAAAATTAAAACAAATAATTAAATCAGAAAAAAATTAAAAAGGAATGAAAATGGTGAATTATTGCAAGGATACGAACATTTAAGAGTTTCTTTAAATTTGGTAGTTTACAGAGAATTCGTTTAAGTTTTCAGTTAGCATATTTTGGTGAATTTTCAAAATTTAAGTACTGAAAATTCGGAATTTTTAAACGAATTTTTGCAACGCCACAACAATTTGGAATTTTTCATGAATTTTGGCAATGTCGCTAAAATTCGGAAATATTAACGAATTTTCTCAACGTCACAAATTCGAAATTTTTTGATTTTTCAGAGAATTTTGAAAATTTAAAATTGCAACATTGTTGCAATAAAGTCGTAATTTTTCTTTCGATATTATCGCCGTAAATCGGCTGAAATCGACAAAATGTTGTATGAAAATTGCAACTCGATAGAAAAAAAATTGAAACTTTATTGCAACAATGTTGCACTTTTATTTCAATAATTTCGTTACGAAATGTTACTTGGGGAGACAAGAGACCCTCCACTGGCCTCTTGGCGACAGGTGGAAGCTTTTACTTTCGGGGATTCAACAGTTCCTTATGGGCAATTATAAGGGAGCAACAGTCATCACCCTAATTTCGGCTGTTGACCTACCTATATGGACCGAATTTTGATACGACTTTCCGTTTTCGAGATTTCGGACTTGTAAAATTTTCGGCATCCACGATAAACCATATCTTACCGTATGGGTCTAGTATCGGAGACTGGAGAGTAGGGTCTGATTTGGGAATTTCAATTTTTAGTAGTGTGCGCTTGGAGATGCGTATCCATTTTTAGTAGTGTGCGCTTGGAGATGCGTATCGGAGCCTTGTGTTTTGAGATGAGCAACTGGGATTGGATATTGCAATGTTCAGTTTGATGAATCAACAATTTATATTATTCAACAATTTGGTACAATAAATTGAAAAATCATTTAAAGAAAAGAAAGCTACACAAGTTAAAATAATCCATGCTGATACATCCCAGTATCACCCGTTGGACATACATCGGGCAGAGAGACAGCGTTCTGAATGATTTTGGCGCGCTCTGAGTTGTTCAAGAATTCACTTTTGCTTGGCAGAATGAGTATAATAGACCATGTCACAAGAGACCAGGATCCCTTATTTTTGAGGAGCAAGTTTTAGAAGTTTTCGACGGTCCTAGAGCATCCCAGACTTCTGGAAAGTAGGGGGATTACGTCTTTTTCCGAGAGCCGCTCTCCTCTCTCTGATGTACAATGCTTTGCGAATCGCACTCAAAATTCTGCATATCTTCCAGTCTCGTTCGTCTATTTTCTTGTACCCCTGCTTTAGGAAGTATATTATTTCCTGCTCGTCTGCGACACGTTCTAGGAGATGGCAAAATCTTTCCGTTATCTCAAGTAACCCATAACACCCGACGGGATTGGAAGTGTCTATTGAGCTGAGTTTAAGATGGTGAAAAAACTTGTCAGGAAAAAGCAGTCGGGCAAACTTGTTCCAAAGCTCTGCTAGTATTCCTGGAATCTTGAAAGAGAGAGCCTCATAAACCGTGTCCAAGGTGTTCATCGCTCGGATCACTTGCGATTTGAGGGTTAGAGCGTCTACACTTGACGAGTTCTTGTTTAGAAATAATCGATCACACTTCCTCGACACTATTTATACGTTCCCTGACTAGAATTGATAATTTTCCCCACTTGCATGAAAGCGTAGTTTTATGTTACTACTATAAATTATGACTACATAGTTTGTCCGAGTGTAACCGAGTCTGGTGATTGGCAAATACTACTATATTTACTCTGAGGTAAATTATAACTCTACATCCAAGTGTAATTTATATTACGACTTATGACTACACAGTTTGCCCGAGTGAAACAGAGTTTGGTGATTAACAGATCCTAATACAGGGTGTCCCAAAAGTCCGTACCCCCCCCCCACTCGTAATTTTTGAACGGTTAGAGATAGAAAAACGAAACTTTGGGAATGTTTCTATTTCAAAGAGGTCCATCTTCTAGGGGGGTCAAAATTTTTGTCCCCCCCCCTCAGGGGGGGCGCGGGGGCCCCCGACTTCTTTTTCAAATGGTAACCCCTATCTTGTGATACATCATTAGAAAGAGCATAAGAAACTTAGAATTTTGGCGCAAACCGCAAATCGATATCTTAATTTTTGACCGAGTTATGATAGGTCAAAGGTCAAAGAGGTGTGTGAAAAAACGGCCAAAAATGCCTCAAGGCATTTTCGAATTTTGATCACTTGGGGTGATACAGTAGCTTCCCAGACGCCCAAAACCGGTCGTCGTTTTGCTTAGAAGCGCCGGGTTGCGACGTTGCCATTTTTAAAGTGGAAACCTTTAAAAATTCATATCTCCGCCGCATCTCAACCGATTTCAATGAACTTTTTTTAAAATGTTCCTCTTAAATAGAGCTTTCTAGTGGTATATAGTTTTCTGGGGTTTACTTGGCTTTAAGTGGCACTTACGCGGTTTTAGCACTTCTTGATAGACACAAAAATGTAGTATTTATTTTACCACGATCGTGGAATCGACGGAATCTAAACAAAAACTAGTCTAAATGAAAGTTCAGATTCTCACCTTCCTAACGAGCACAAGATCATCCCGGGGAAACGTTTAGTTTCCGAGATATGACCGCTCAAAGTTGGTCACATGCGCTTTTGCGCAATGTGAATGCGCCTTATCACTAAGTCATTCACGAACTGGGGGTCCCTTATGTTCAATTTACGTTGAAATAATTACACAGAGCAGTAAGGTGTACAACACGAGCCGTTTTTTCACCTTCGGCTGCCGATAAGTGACGTTGCCATTTTTTGAAGTGATAACTCTTAAAAATGCATAACTCCGCTGCATTTCAACCGATTTCAATGAACTTTTTTTTAAAATGTTCCCCTTAAATAGAGCTCTCTAACTGTATTTAGGTGTTTGGATTTTATTGACTTCAAGGCGGCACTTAGGTCGTTTATATGGTTCTTTGCAGAGATTTTTCATATAGAAAATAGTGTTGCTATTTTTTATTTTTTTTTATTTTTTTTTCCGCGGATTGTGGGAGGGTTTGAAATGGCAAAATTTAAAAGAAAGAACTTTGAAAAAAGGGATTCTTTAAATCACCATTCTTACGTGTACAAATATTGAAAGCGACGCTCTCATTCTACAAGGGAAGTTGGTGTTGTTAATTTACCAAGATTTTTGCATTATACTTTAAGCGATGGTGATCTTCCGATCTAGTGTGAATGTTAAAAAAAATCGGGGGAAATACAGACCCCCTTCCGAAAAAAAAAGAAAAAAAAATAGCAACTCAATTATTTATATGAAAAATCTCTGCAAAAAACCATATAAACGACCTAAGTGCCGCCCTGAAGTCAATAAAATCCAGAGACCTAAATACCGTTAGAGAGCTCTATTTAAGAGGAACATTTTAAAAAAAAGTTCATTGAAATCGGTTGAAATGCAGCGGAGTTATGCATTTTTAAGAGTTATCACTTCAAAAAATGGCAACGTCACTTATCGGTAGCCGAAGGTGAAAAAACGGCTCGTGTTGTACACCTTACTGCTCTGTGTAATTATTTCAACGAAAATTGAACATAAGGGACCCCTAGTTCGCGAATGACTTAGTGATAAGGCGCATTCACATTGCGCAAAAGCGCATGTGACCAACTTTGAGTGGTCATATCTCGGAAACTAAACGTTTCCCCGGGATGATCTTGTGCTCGTTAGGAAGGTGAGAATCTGAACTTTCATTTAGACTGGTTTTTGTTTAGATTCCGTCGATTCCACGATCGTGGTAAAATAAAAACTACATTTTTGTGTCTATCAAGAAGTGCTAAAACCGCGTAAGTGCCACTTAAAGCCAAGTAAACCCCAGAAAACCACATACCACTAGAAAGCTCTATTTAAGAGGAACATTTTAAAAA